AATATACAAGATCATCGTCTTTTTAGGATGACTTAGATGTTTTTGTTGTAAACTTAATGAATTCTCATTGTTGTATTGCCATATAATCTTACAAGGTCTTTAAAAAGAACTAGGAGTTACGATCCTTGCTATAAAATATACAGATATAAACTAATAGGAAACTAAAAATACTATGCAGCAATCATATCTCAATAATATCGAATAATATCCCAACTTACTTCAATAATTCCTTTCAGTATGGTGAATGATAGTCCTCAGTTTACATCTTGGTTAGAAGATAACCGAGTTGTTTCCGACCTAGAGGCGGAAGAAAAGAACTGATTCTGTGAGTATCACCAGATGATAGGACACTCAAACAAAAACTGCAGGATACTCCAGAGGCTCTTCTATAGCGAATACCATGAGGCAGCATAACTACTGAACCACAAGCGCAAGACCTTGTCACAGATTTATCCGCACATTCTCGAGCCCAAGTCGGTAAGAGCGTCACATGGAAGCAGAGAAACAACAGAAGGTTCTAAGCCATAGAAGTAAGATTTAATTTCAAAAACTTATCGGAGTGTTTGCTCGTTAGTGTTATGTCTTTTCGCCACGTTTCAAATAAAAACACTTGTAATCACAAACTCCGCTCGAACTTTGACAATGAACTCCAACAACAAAAATAACAAGGGGGATTTATTCTCCAAGGTCGATCTAGTCACCACGCTCACCCCAACCGAGAAATTTCTCATGGACAGTAAGGGTATCATGACAGGGTACCCATGAACAGGCGTCCGAAACACCCTTTTGGTAATAAGCAGCTCCGAGGAAAATGGCTTCTAATACAAACAAGATTTCCGACCAACTATTTCCCTTAATCATCTCTTAAAATTAATCTTGAACACTCACTTTCTTAATCTAATTTAAAAACGATAACGAACAATTGCAGCCCAAATAGGGCCTATTCAAAGTTAAACATTTATTAAATGAATAAATTTTAAGACCTCAAGAGAACAAACTCAAGGAGAAAAACAATAAACTCGTAACCATAACCAGTAGTATTGGTCAAAATGAAACGAAAAAATTATTTTTTGGAAACAAAGAGACATAATAGGACGCAAGAAATATAGAAAAACAATAAGAAATTATTGAAATGCACTGAAAATTTGTTGGAAGGCCACAATGGTTGAGTGTGAAGCTGACTGCTACTGGAATGTTCAGGTTAACAAAGTTTCCGACATTAGCCCGAATTGCACTACAAATACATGTGGCAGCGTTTGCGTTCACGATAACACTGAGAAGGGGAAAACAAGGAGAAGATCCTGCCGGCAGAAAAACATCAACCACTCCATTCAACAAACTTGCACATACATTAACAACAAGTTGGTCTGGGGGACATTGAGCATTAACCATAGTGTAGACGATGATGTTGAAGAGGAGAACAATGGCAATAGTTTTAGAAGTCATCTTCAAAGAAGGAAAATGATAATTTTGTAGGAGAAATATTGTTTGTTTGTTAGATGTTGTGTTTGTGTAGGTTAACGAAATTTTATAGGGTTTATATAGAATTCAAGTTCATACTTCTAGATCTTCTTTTCTGTTAAAAAATGTGGGAACCGAAATTTTCACTATCAATTTCCGTAAAATAAGAAAACTTAGGAAAATCCAAATTTTCCAGAGGATCCGGAACTCTGCAAGAGCCAAAGACAAGTAACCAAATAAATGTGGAAAATACGAAAAAACATGATCAAACGAATTTATAAAGAAAATAGATCTTATTTTGAATTCGCGTAGGAGTGTTGCAATCACTACAAGAGATTATAAAGGCTTTGGCCGCAGGGGCCGTCAGCGATTTCCTAGTCCTATCAACATAAAACCCTAAACCTAGTTGAATCACAGCTCGATAACAAAAGACGAAAAATATAAGAAAAAGGGGTTTAATTGATTTCGAACTGAACCTTTTGAAAGGCTGCCTACGTACCCATTTCGAGGATCAAGTCGAACGTAGTTAAATTGATAGAGCTGGACAAGAGATCGAACTGCCTGGGCGAGTTCGTCTAGTAATTGAGCGCCAGTCATAGAAACCGAACTTGTCGAGAATAAAGCCTAAGTTTCTAAGTGCAGAGAATTCTAAGTCTAGAAAAGTTGTAAAAGTCTGAGATGAGAGCTCTGAAAATCCTCTTTTGCTTCTGTTCTCGACGTTCTGCTTATATACTCCTTCTCTAGGCGGTTTGGTCTTTCCTTTTCCGTCTTGATTCGTGCTTATTAGAAATCTTCCATTTATCTCGATCTGTCCATTTTTCTTCGGAAAACTTCTATTTATCTTCAATCTTGACATTTATCCACTCCTGCGTATAATAGGCAAACCGTCATTGTATCTTTGGGCTGGACCTTTTCAAAGTTACGAGTGGACAGATGTGGGCGAGCTGGATAGATGTGTTCAGCTCGCAAATGGGTGAGCTGGTCACATGTGTGGTCAGCTCGCCAACGGCCGAGCTGGTCACATGTGTAGTCAGCTCGCCTGTTGGCGAGCTGGACGGTTGGTCGGTTTGTATCTTTTCTTATTTTCTCAACCCGAGATCCTTTCGGAGAATGTAAGGAGAAGTGTCCATAGACGTTGATTTCGATCTTAACAATAGTTTTAATATCTCGGGGAGTTTGGACGTTACAGCCGTTTTTGCTAATTTGGCCAATAAAACATTCGCGGATTGTTTTATTCGATTTCCCGATGATTTCCAAGATTACGGTTGTCAATTTTATGAAATTGCTTTGTTCGGAGAATCCTTAGATTTCTTCTCGACACTTTTTCGTATTTTTTAAAACCTAATCTTAGATTTGCGGTAAGTTTTGGTCGTAGGTTTCGTCGTAACCGATTTTGACCCCAACAAACAAGTAGGTCTTTTTGATTATTTCATACTTTGATACGAGTTTTTCATAACTTCGTATCTCCGTAGAAAGTCTATAGTTTCTTGTACGCTTTTTCCGGGACTTTTAGCAATTGATTCTGTCGTGACCGATTTTCACCCCAACAGTTAGCCCCCCAGCTCGTTAGAACCTTGAGCTTTTAGCGTGAGGTTCTAGTGAGTGTTCAAACAATTTTAAGCAAGTTAGGCGGAATTTATGGTTGAAAAGTGCCGTTGAAAGTGGTCTTCCCACTCTCATTGGAATTGAAAGCGGTAGGAGTGGGGCTGCGCCTAGTGAAATCTGCCTACGTACCCTCTTGAAGGTATCAAGCCTTTCGTTGTTTGTCTTAAAGTTAAGGTTCGTATGACCTATTTTCGATTGAGATGTTAAGTAGTTTTATTCATGCTAAAGCAATTAGGACCGAGGGGTCGTGGAAATTGTTTGTTCCTGAAACGAAGCGTCTTTAATTACAGTGCTTTGTGAAGTGTTGACCTTCCAAGATCTTTTTCATATATTTTAAGGATAACTCGTACGGCTTCAGGAGATCTGTTACAAGTGTTTTCTTACACGTCAGATTTTGTCTCGCTTCGGAAATAGAGTGAATCGTGAGAATACAGAGCTTAGTAGATTTTCGACAAGTTTGCATTATCCGTTGAATGTATTGGCTTGGCGTGAAGGTTGTATTCAGCCGCATAGCCAAGGACGTAGTTGGTAGAGGATTAGACCACGACACTTCCGTGCTATCAATAAGGTCGAGTCGGTTTGTGAACTTGGACTCGGCATTGAAATGAAGCGTGATTGGACAAGGGCCAAGTAGCGTTTGTCGAGATTGATATGCCAAGTATACCCATGGTCGTAGAAAACGTTTTTCCATTTTAGGTTCGATTTATACGATGTTAGTTTCGTATAATCTTTCCTTTGTTTGTATGGAAGTTGTTTCGTTTTTACCCGAGGGAGACAGAGCCTAAGAATCTCGATGTAGAGCCCGTGTGGAGTCGTTTGCGGGGTAGTTTCATTCTCGGATGTAATCAAGAGGAATGAGAGCGGATGCTCGTGAACCGAAGGGCTAAAGAATGAGATCTTTCAGATCGTGGTGCGAGGAAACAAAGTTAGATTGGTCGTCCAGCGTCGGATCGTATGGCTTTGCTATATGGACTGTACTTTTCGCAAAACCTGTTACGTTTACTTTTGAAAGTTACTTTGTATGTCAAGGTCTTCGATTATACGAAGGATTTCTTGCCTAAGTAACGGGCGATGAATTTGACGCGACGTATGGAGATGTCAAAATAACGGTGCTGCCGCGAATTTTTGTGAAACCTTTCCGCTTTGTTTCTGATTCTTCGGTGATAGTTTCTTGGAGTCACTCACGGAGTTTTACCGAAGGTTATTTCATCGAGATCTAATTGCAAAATTTTTTAGTGGGTTACTTCAGCGGAATAGGATCACTTGACCAGAAATAGGATCAGTCGGCGAGCAGGAAGGACGTGTTCCCTATTGCTGCTTCTTGTGTTCTCGAGTTTTCTTTTGCCACAAATGTTTTTGATATTATTCCGTGACTCACTTGGTTTGACGGAAAATGAGAATAATGCTTTGATGCCTAAAGATTTCTCGTCTAATTATTTTGATTCTTAAACGAAACTTGTTTTATCAAGTTGGAAAAGATCTTTATGACTTCGGCAAATCGTCGAGTTTCACTCTGAAGTTTGGCAGAGGTTTTCTAAGCGCATGACTGTGATGAGAGATGCTGTGTAGTCCTTGAGATTATTTCCCTGAGGATTTGGATCAGTCTTTAGTGTTTAGACGGATCTTAGATTGTCGTTTACTTTTGGGATGATTTTGACGAGGCATCGTATTGTCCGAATACTTTCCGCCTAATTTTGCAAGAGTTTGCTTTATAGAAAACGTTTTCTGGATGTGAGGAAAAATGTTTTTGAAATATGGGAGTATATGAGTATAGTATACGCACCTACTCCTTCCTCTTTTTTTTTAGCTGTTCCAACTACATTGTCCGTTTCGAAGCGAAGTGACAAAGATTGAAAAAACCCTCTAGAAATGGAGGAAGAGGGTTGCTCTCTGCAGAAAATAAAAGCAAATGAATAAAATAGAAACTCCTAAGAGATCATACGCATTTGAATCACGATACCTCTCCAACCCCATTTGGTCACAAAAAGAGGAATGCAGTCCTCCTCCACCGATGCACTGTCGATACGAACATAGAAGAAATTGTTCTTCCAAGAAGAGTAGGCCGACGAGGAATCGGTGACTATTACCCTGTGAGGAGATAATTTAATCCTTTGTGTTTTCCCCTCGGGTTTCAGTAAACCCTCGAGGGGATCAACGCTAAGAACCATTCCTCGATTGTAACTCAACGTCAAAAGACCGATGAGTTGCTGCAAGCCGCACGGGGTCATTGGACTTATCGAAAGCCCATAACGATGAAGGTATCGAACGATGATCTCCGGAATTCGGAAACCACAAATGACATTGCATCCAAAACGCGTCGTAGCACGTGAAAAAGCCATCGGGTGCATCTTTTTCACCCTCTCCAGCTAATGGAAGGTGAAACTTGTTGGGGTCAAAATCGATACGACGGAATTAATAGCTAAAACTCCCCGCGAAAATACAAAAAGAACAGTTTTATAAAACCCGAGGAATAGTTTTATAAAACTCAAAGTCGTTTATAAAACTCGCAGACCGTTTTATAAAACTCGAAAGATCGTTTTATAAAACTCGAAGATCGTTTTATATAACTCGAGAAATCGTTTTATAAAACTCGAGAATCGTTTTATAAAACTCGAAGATCGTTTTATAAAACTCGAAGATTGTTTTATAAAACTCGAGAAATCGTTTTATAAAACTCGAGAAATCGTTTTATAAGACTCGAGAATAGTTTTATAAAACTCGAAGATCGTTTTATAAAACTCAAAGATTGTTTTATGAAACTCGAGAAATCGTTTTATAAAACTCGAGAAATCGTTTTATAAAACTCGAGAATCGTTTTATAAAACTCGAAGATCGTTTTATAAAACTCAAAGATCGTTTTATAAAACTCGAAGATCGTTTTATAAAACTCGAAGATCGTTTTATAAAACTCGAGAAATCGTTTTATAAAACTCGAGAATCGTTTTGTAAAACTCGAAGATCGTTTTATAAAACTCGAAGATCGTTTTATAAAACTCGAAGATCGTTTTATAAAACTCGAAGGTCGTTTTATGAAATCCAAAGATCGTTTTATAAAACTCGAGAATCGTTTTACGAAACCGCAAAAAACCGAAATAGTCGTAAAACGCGAACTAGTCGCAACTAGTTCGCCCATCGGCGAATTAAGCCGGCCCGGCTTAGTTCGCCGATGGGCGAACTAAGAGGTACTCTTCTAGTTCGCCCATCGGCGAACTAGGAAGTGATCAACTAGTTCGCCCATCGGCGAACTAAGCCGGCCCGGCTTAGTTCACCGATGGGCAAACTAGGACATGCTCGACTAGTTCGCCCAGCTTAGTTCGCCGATGGGCGAACTAGAGACCTCCCGGACACTCCGCGTCTCGATTTCCCGCATTCCCGATTAG